AATTCTATTTGAGTTATGCTTGACAAATTGACTAAAGTAGTTAGAAGTAGAGTTGACAAAGTTTTACGTGGCAGGAAGCTTACCGCGGTCTATATATTCATAAGTTATGATTCATCAGCTTAACAAAATGGCTCACGATTTTAGAGCTTGCAATAAAGGTATCATCCTACATAGTGATAAGAAACGCTTGCAGTTGAATAACATCCACCGTAGTTGTTAGTATCGGTTCATACAAAAGACCTGATCACGTGGCAACATAGATGGAAGGAAGTGGTGACAGACTCATGCTTTACATCAAGTATCACTAGGGGAAAACAAATGTGGAAGTAGATACTCTCAACAATCAATATTTTTTCCAGGTTAGTTGTTGAGTTTTCAGTTGAATTTTTTATAACGCGTGTAATAGGATCACCTGCTATTATTGAGGTAATTAAGGAGGTACTTTAAATTTTTGGATCTGACCTTAAAGGAATGTAATACTTTACACAGATAAAAGTTTAAAGTAGCAGGAACGACGGGTAGGTCCTGTAAATGGCATTATGGGGGTTGGGGTGACTGATCGAGTTGTCCAATTCATGATTTTCGGTACACCCAGAAGATTTCAAGATACAACTGGGCATCAAATGCAGATTTTGGTGAACCGGTTCTGTTAGGGGCATTCTTATAACTGTTTCTAAGCATAGCACCAGTTTGAAAAGTGAAAGGTTGATCACCAGAGATTATTGAAAGCTTGGAGTCATTTCCTGTGTCAATGGGGAATATGGGAACAAGCATACGTGGATGAGGTGGAGAGATTATCCATATTGAATTGGAGTTATAATTCCATAAAGGGTCATGAGTGAAGCATGGATTAAGTTCACTTATTGACATTTAATTTAATTAATGTTTGGAGCTTCGTATTAGCTTTACATCACGGAGATGACAATGCGTTATACTAAGGCATTGTGCATCATAATGGATGAGAAGTTTTATTTTGAGAAGGTTTCTCGAAGATCTTGGGTGCAGAATATATTACACACTGCTTTGTATCCTTAAAAGAGGAAAACAATCAAGAGGTTTAATCAAGTTATAGGAGGATATACTCAAAATATATATTCTAGAGGATTACGGATAATCGGATTTAACCATTTCGCTTTGTTGAATTGTGTCTGGAGATGTTGGCACAAGATTATTGGTGTGACAACATTTGAGGTTTTGTATAATAAACTGTGCAGACCACTCATTTGTTGGTTTGAAGTTGGAGCAATAACCGAATAATCAAATCTTGACTTTATTAATGATACGTTGGAGAAATCATTATTCTTTGTGATTATGTGTGCGCTGTTCGGAGGTGGCAGAGGAATAATTTTTAAATAGTTGAACTCATATATTAGAATTGCGTATTGCAAATTAGTTCATTTGGGATGCCTTCCATGTAGGAAGAGTTACGATTTCAAGAGAATTGTGGTTTTTACTTGTTACACTAACCCTTCACGATTTTTGTTTATCATTTGATGCAATAGCCTAAAGTTTTGCACTACTAAATCATTAGCATTGTGTGTATAGAAGTTATTCGTGCTTATATTCCATGAAAACTTGTAGTAATAGGAGTAGTCACCCATGTATACATATTGGGTAAATCTAGTTGCTATTAAATGCAATCTATGTGTAGTATGGTTTAAAGGTGCTTGATAATAAGAACCAAGTACATTGTTAAATGAATGGTTGATGCGTTTGTGTTCAATGGAGCTAGCCCCTACACAGAGGCTGAGTCTACTTGGAAACATAAAATGAATTTAAATAAATAATTTAGAATTTTCATAAATTCTGAGGACAGAATTTCTTTGTTAGGGGGGAAAGAATGCAATACCTCTAATTTTTGGAGATTTATTTAATTATTTTAATTGTATTTTTATTTAATTATGTGGCTATTTGATTATTTGTTTTATTTAATTGATAATTGATTTGATTTGATTTAATTTAATTTATATTAGTTAATTATATGCGCATTTTTATTTGATTTCATGTGATGCGTTTGTGTAATTAAATTGTTTTAAGTGATTATTCGTTTAGTTAAATGATTTGTTTATTTTTAATTTTAATTTATTTTAAAGGATGATGGATTTGGGTTGTAACCCATTGACCAACTAGATGGGTCTTGGACTATTTGAGAGAGATCCTAAATGGGTTGGATAGTGATCCATGAGGATTACTAATTCTATATATATATATATATATATATATATATATATATATATATATATATATATAATGAGATGTATATATATATATCTATATTATTTTCATTAAAAATAATATTTTATTAAATTAGTTACCTAGTTTGTGAATTGTCAAACGTATATTAGGTTTAGAATATAGGTAGTATATTTTATCTATATATATATATACATAGAGAGTATATCTAGAAAAAGGGAAAAGAGACATCTAGAGAGAGAAAGAGGAAGAGAGAGAAGAAGAAGAACCATTAGAAATGAAGAACAAGGAAGAAAGAGTTTAACTTTCGATCCGAAAGTTTAAGACAAGTTCTTTGTTCTACACTTTTCCCTTATATCTGTGATCTATATGTCTCTAATATAACTTTAAGGATATTTAAAGGATTATTGAAATTGGAATCCATGTTTAAATTGATCTAAAACATAGGTTTTTATGAGTTTATGCTAATGGTTGTTCTTGTTGTATGAATTGATAAATTCATGGCTTAAATATGATTTTTAATGGATTTCTACATGTTATAATAATGTATTTTTGTTCTTATGTGTTGATGAGACTTAGTAACATGTTTTAGGACCTTAACAATGGAGAACATGGCTTAAAATGGAGTTTTCAAACTGTTTCACAAAACAGTGCTTGAGCATAAAAGGGTGATCGATCACCTTAGGGTGATAGATCCCTAGGGTGATCGAGCACATATTTAATCTTAATTGTTAAAAAATTCATCAAATCTTTAAGTAATTCAAATTACATGCAACATGGTATTCATGCCTATTTAAATTCACATAAAATCATCCCTAAGTCCCTATTTAACATTTGGGACCTTCAATAATCCAATCGGGGTCAATTTAAACACTTTTATGAAAATTCCCTAGAGGGTGATAGATCCCTAGGGTGATCGAGCACCCTAGGATGATAGATCACCCTCTAGGGAATTTTCATAAAAGTGTTTAAATTAACCCCGATTGGATTATTGAAGGTCCCAAATGTTAAATAGGGACTTAGGGATGATTTTATGTGAATTTAAATAGGCATGAATACCATGTTGCATGTAATTTGAATTACTTAAAGATTTGATGAATTTTTTAACAATTAAGATTAAATATTTAGCATGAGATGTATTTGGAGAATGCTTACTTGGCTGTAAAATAAATCATCAGCATCCTTAAGATTCAGTTTATGTAAAGTACATGATATAGGAAGCTCAAATAAATTATATGTCATTCCTATGATTTGATAACATGATATTCTGTTATATGTTGTTATGATATGTTATGATTATAATCAATTGCATATTTGCATTTTATAATCTTGATATATATATATATATATATATATATATATATATCCTCAAGCAAATCCCAACATATATATATATATATATATATATATATATATATATATATATATATGTTGGGATTTGCTTGAGGACCAATGTCAAGATTTGGTTCTATGTATGCCATTGTGATGATATGGCTTTATTTTGGATTAGGTGGATGGACTGACTAATAAGTTCAGTCTCATTTCTTCGTGTTAAGTCACAGAACCATGTGGATGATATGCCATTGAAATACTATGGCGGATAGTTTATTTTTATTGTTATAGATATCATATGGATTTATATACATATAGATATATACCACGATATGAGCTTGAGATCTCAGGATTAGTGGTTAAGATGGAGACGTATATTGACAACTAAGATAAGTAGCTGGATTAGGGATGTGTGTGCCCTGGTAGAAGGAGGACTCGTGACCACCTTTGTGTGCGATTTGCATAAGATACCCACTACACAGTTAAGATTGCCTTAATCAGTGAGAGTCTTTAGTGTGTATAGTTATATACTTATGGACTATGTAGTTATTGCATGAGTTAGTTATAGATGTGTAACTTGTCAGGTCTCTGTTTGGGTTGTCGTCGAAAGAACTTGTTTGTGGGCCGACCCACTATTTATTTTTCAGGTCCATAAGTTTATTAGGTGTAGATATTGTTCGTGCAAAGCAGAGACCAGTTACCATCACTCTTCCAATCATTTATATAGGATTCTAGTTTATATTTTCAGTATTCAAATATAGACAGTTATTTATTTTATTTTGAGATTTTTAGGGGTCCACATGTTATGGATTCTCGAGTTGTATTTTTATGGAGGATTATTGTATCAAAAGAATTTATTATTTAATGAAATTTACTTTGAAGATTTAATTATTATTTTAGTATTCCTTTCAGCATTTTATTTATTTATTATTTATCCTTTTTGTATTCTGTGTTCGATTATTGTCATATTATTTCTGATATCTCCGTGATTTTGAGTATGAGCCTGGCCAACTTACACGTGAAAATTCGGAGGTATCACAGTTAATATCAATTTATGAAGAAGAAATTGGTTAAGTATTTGCTGTCGCATCAAATTTTGATTTGTCTTTTTTCAAATTCATTTCCATTCTATTCAATATTATTTTGTAGGTATTTCAAGCGAGTAATGGTACACGTCAATAAAAAAGTTTGGTGACATCATCTTGAAATGAAAACGATGTCATTTTAACATAAGTTTATTTACTATTATTTTTTAGCAAGTCCTTCAATTTCAATAAAAGTGAAAAGCATACGACAGACTCATCGCTAATAACTACGATTTCTAAATGACGGTAGAATTTGTGGCCTACAATTTATTTTTCATTTTTTATTTTTTTATTTTTGGACATTAAATGTGTGTGATTGCCCTTCACAAGCTAATGCCACATAAATGGCCTAGAAAGTAACTTCTTCATTTGAAGAAATTTAAACCAAATAAAAAATTGGACCATTTGTTGATTTGTGTGTGTCATCTTTGCACAAGGGTTATATTAATCTTCTTTATATCGTTCCAATTTTATTGGATGTCCCCGAAGAGACATGTTGTGTAATGAAGATTTTGGGATCATAAAAGGATCATTAGTCTTTGTGTTCTAATTAATTTGACATTGTATTGTAGAGTATTCATTCAATCAGTTTGAAACTAATATGAGTAGCGGAGGCTAAGATCTCGATGAAAGAGACAATTCTTGGAACAGAATAAGGCTCCCTTGCAATGGAGCCATGGAGAACAAACCACATAGACGATTCCATGGTAGTGAATCAATTCTAAGATGCCGAAGTAAGAAAGAAAGAACTACCCTAGTTGGTACAAGCCCTCCTCAACAAAAGAGAGGTCGGATGTTCAAGCTTTAGTAGAGGCATGAGTGTGTATTTGCTTAACCTTGTAAAAAATAATAATAATAAAATAAAGAATTAGATTGATTCACTACTGATGTTTCCACGTAGTTGAAGGTACAGAGAGAATAAGAAAGAATCTGTCCATTTTAAATTTATCTACTTAATTGGAAATTTTGAAATTTTGTATTGTTTCAACAAGGAAATGATCATACAGATACAAGATAAGAATCTTTACTCATGAATTGTGTGTTATTGCCCTTCACAAGCCAGTGCGACATAGACGGCCTAAAGAGTAACTTCTTCCTTTGAAGAAACCTCTTAAACCACAAAGCAGAGCATTTGGGGTATCTTTTCAACCCATTCTTATAATCTACATAATTCATGCCAAATCGAGCACTGAAACCATATGCCCATTCAAAGTCGTCAAGAAATGACCATACAAAGTATCCTTTCACATTAACGCCTTCCCTGTCAATATTCCATTTTTGCCATTAGTAATTTTCGTGATTATATTTAATAATACTCATCATAAAAATATTTCAATAATAAACATCACAGAAGATTTTTCAATGGCTTCATTTTATTTCATCTTATCACATAAACTATGCGGAATAGAAGGAGTATTAACAAATTACAAGTCGTACCAATTTTTAAATTAATTTTACCACTTAATCAATCACAAAATTGAAATACATTAATTTTTCAGTTCATAAAAATTTGATGATGTAATTAGTGGTGCACAAAAGACCGTTTGAGCCGGTAAACTGAACCAAACCAATAAGTTTGGTATGATTTTTTCACAATTTGGTTTAATCTCGTTTCCAAAAATATGAAACCATTTATAAATGGTTCAGTTCTGATTTGAAATGCTACAGGACCAAATCGATTCCAACCGTTATGTAAATATAAATAATATACTCAATTATCTATTATAATATATATATATATATAATATATATTTCATTTCAGCCACTCGATTATACCGTTTTCTATTTTGTAATTCTCAATTTGGTGATTGAATGGTATTTTTCGTAACATTTTTATACTTCAGTAACATTTTAATACTTTTTCCAAAAAAAAAAAAAAAAAAGGGAGTGACTGGGTCTAAAATTGAAATATAAAAAGTCCAACATCGTATAATCAAACGGTTTCCTCGTAGTTGACTTCGGTTTGATTCTGTTGGTTCATGATTTGGGTTTGGTTCTAATTTTTATAACATCGTTAGAACCATTTTGGTTTCAAAATATTCCTAAACTGGTCTAATCTGACCCGTGTGCAACCCTTGATGTTGTAAGGTAAAATAAGGCCACAAGGAACTTATGTGATAAGCATGTAGCAAAACATTAATTTTGCCAGCCTAAAAAATTAATATTTGAATTGTATAATTATTATTCATGACTAAATTAAATAATAAATATGAAGGTTATGAATTCCCTTTGTGCTAGACTTTTTTATTTTATAACACATCTGAACATCACAAAAAATTTTGGGTTGTTAAAATGTGGCTCAAATTCTCTAGGAGATGTAATTTTAGAAGAGTTGGACCAGTCCAACTTCTGTGGACCGGTCCAACGTGCCTGGGAAACTAAAATGGAAATTATAAAAAAGTTAAACCAGTCCAATTTTCCTTGGACCTGTCCAATGTGCCTGATACGTGCAAGAATGAGTTTCTTATTCCAATTTAGAAGGATGAAAATGTGAGAAATTATTTGTGATTGATATGGTAACTCTTTGTAGGCAAGTTGTGGAGTTATTGTCCAATAAGGAACTATAATTGAATATTTTACAAATAGAGAAGATATGAGAGAATAGGGAGCGAGAAGAAAAACGTGAAGAGTGAGAAAGAGATTTGTAAGACAAATACACTATGAGTGTGTAATTTTTTATACTGGAATAAAGATAGTCATTCTTCGCTTGTCTACGTATGCAATTTTTCGAACCACGTAAATCTCGTTTGTTTGTGTGTTTGCTTTCATCTGTTTTTTTGTTATTATTGAGTGAGTTCTTGGGGTAGTTCCTAAAAACTGGTATCATAGCTATGTCGGCAACTATTACAGATGGAAAGCATGTGGTCGAGAAGTTTGACGGAAAAATGAACTTCAGTCTTTGGCAAGTTCGGATGGAGGTTTTACTAATTCAGCATGGTCTAGGAGAGGCTTTAGGAAAGAAATCGAAAAAGATGAAAGATATAGAGTGTGGGAAGATCAACTCGAAGACAATGAGTACAATTCGATTGGCGTTAATAGGTGATGTTGTGTATGATGTAACAGAAGAAGCTTCAAGAGTGGATATATGGAAGAAGTTGGAGAATCTGTATATGGAAAAGAATCTCACCAACCGGTTAGTCTTAAACCAAGAGTTGTATTCCTTTAAGAGAAAAGAAGGTGTAAACTTGCAAGAACATCTTAGTAGTTCAACAAAATTATTTGTGATTTGTTTAATGTTGATGTCAAGTTGAGTGATGAGGATAAAATAATTATTTTGTTATCATCAGTACGCTCTACCCATAAATATTTGTTCAATAATTTCTTTTTTGTGGAGATACCATCTCAATGGAATAAGTTAAGAGTGCTTTGTTCACCAATGAAAAGTTAAATGATAGAGACAGTCATGATGTTTAGACTTAAGTTCTTATTGCTCAATAGAAGAAGAGGTTTGAAGCTTCAAAAAACTCTGTGCCATTGTCAGAGAAAAGATTATACAAGTGTCGAAGAAATGGGCATATTCAGTGGCATTGTTTGGAAATAAATGAGAGTACATCCGCTATTGTTGTTATGTCTGAGGCTACGAAAGAATGTGGTTATGTTGATGAAGCATTGTCAATTATTCATAACGTCATGTGTGTCCTTATAAAGAGTGATTTGCTACTTATAAACCTAGGTAAGGTATTTATAAGGAATAATGCTTCTTCTGATGTTATGGGAATTAGAACAATCAAAATCATGACAACAAATGATTTGGTATGAACCCTAATGAATTTTCATTATATTCCAAGTGTTAGAAGAAATGTGTTCTCTATGGGAGCATTGGATTCCAATGATTGTTGTTGTGAAGTGACCAATAGATTGAAGAAGATTAAAAAGGGGCCACATGTTATTCTATGGTGCAGGAAGGTCAACAACCTTTATGTATTGTTGGAAAATACTATGTAAGTAGAGCAATTGGAAAGACCGAATGCATGGAAGCCTATTTCAAGATTTACTAGAATGGACGATTAAGAACTGTAAAAGAAGGAAGAAGTCTTTACAATTACAAGAACCAACCTTCATCCCAAAAACAAGAAGAATTTGATTTGGTGATGTGAGTGTGATGGAATGACGAAGAACGATGGGAAGAATGAAGATATTTGGTCCAAGGTAGAGAAAACTTTGTTTAAGGTAGAGCTATGGAGGAGCACATTAAGACGAAATTTGAGCCAAGGTGGAGATTATTAGAATGTGGCTCAAATTCTGTTGGAGATGTTATTGTGGAAGAGTTGGACTTCTATGGATCGGTCCAATATGCTTGGGAAACTAAGGTGTGATTCTAAAAAAGTTGGACCGGTCCAACATGCCTAATATATGTGGGAATGAGTTTCCTATTCTAATTTGGAAGGCTGAAAATGTGGGAAGGATTTATAATTAAGGTGGTAACTCCTTGCAGACAAGTTGTGGAGATATTCTCCAACAAGGAATTGTAATTGAACATTCTACAAATAGAGAAGAGGTTGAGGGAATAAGGTGTGAGAAGAAATGTGTGAAGAGTGAGAGAGAGAGAATTGTTAGAGAGATAGTGAGTGTGTAATTTTTAATATTAGAATAAAGATATTCTTTTTTCGTCTATAGACATAAGCAATTTGCCGAACTATGTAAATATCGTTTGTTTGTGCGTTTGCTTTCTTCTGTCTTTGTTGCTATTATTAAGTGAGATCTTGTGGTAAATTCCTAACAAGGTATGCTTGGTTCAAATTTTTAAGAAAAGTCTTCTATTTTTTGGGAACTAAAAGTCAAAAACTGTATAAAAAATTGCTTTGTTACCAATTTCTAGAATTATTTTCTAAAAACTCAGTTAAAAATGATTTGTTTTTAGAGAAAGATTTCTGCATTTGAATTCAGAGTTTCTAAGAATTTTTTTCCGAGAGAAAAACCAAGCCTTTTGATCGTTCAACAACTGTTATAAAAGGTTTATCAACTTATGATTGTAAAAAAGAAAATATCGTATAAAAAAATAAAAAGAAAGAAAGGGTTTTCAACTAAATAAAATAGGGAGTCGTGTTGGGTTTTAGATTTGGGCTTTGTTTGCCTGGTTCTCTAGTAGGTCTCGTTGGGTCTTTCTCTTGGACCTTCTTGGGCTTGCTTGTTTCTTTACTTGCCCTTTACTCTTGGCTTCGGCCCACAATGTACAGTTTACCCATATTAATATATTTGCTTGAATTTCCCCCAAAAAAAAAAAAGAAAAATTATTTAAATGTGATGCATGAAAAGATGATTTGGAACTTAGTAGGCCATTTGTGAATACTCACTTGATAGCTTTTGAAAGATATGTTAGATGTCCATGGTGGTAAATTATCCTCAAGTTATCATGTAAGGCTTCTTCAACTGGTAAAGTGCTATTATTTGCATCTGCAACCCCTGCAACAAATCAGTATATCGATTCAATTGTCTAAAAAATTATGTGAACATTAGTATTATTATTATTTATTACCATTAAGCAATTGGCACACACTCCACTATCTACTCACCTCTTTGGAAAAGATGAGCTCGCATGGTATCATTTACTAATGTTCTGTTTGGTAGGAAGTAAGAAAGGAGTGGAGGAAATATAGGAAGAAAAATACAAATTTATTTCGTTTGTTAGAGAGGAGGCGGGGAGAGAACTCAGAAGAAGAGAAAAGAGGATGGATAAATCATCCTTTCTCCGTTACAAATTTTAATCCTCCTAAAGATGGACCGAAGACACGAAAAAAAAAAAAAAAAAAAAAAAGGCAAGGCTTTCGTAAAAGTTCTTAACGTACAAAATTTTCCTTTAAGTAACACTCTCTTTTCTCTTCTCTCCTAATAAACAAAATAATGTATTATCTCATTTTCTTCTTATTTATCTAACCAAATAAAAAGAGATAATAACACAATTTTTTCCTGTGAATGTCTTATTTATTTCTTCTTCTCTTCATTCCATCCAATTTTCTTCATTCCTACCAATCAACGCATTGTTTTTGTGGACATTACTTACTACACAAAAGAATAAGAATTTAGAATGATTTACCATTTTCTGTAATCACAATAGGTGGATTTCCATAGTAATCTTTTATATATAGCACAAGCTCTCGAATCCCTTGTGGACACACGTGAAGCCAACTCAAAGCAGTCTACAAAACCATTCATTTTAAAATTGGCTTAGTAAAATAACACATAACTTCGAATTCACATGGATGTTGTGTCCGAAGGTATCAAATTCATGCCATAAAATTAGAATTAGATAAAATTTAGTTTAAATTTTGAACTAAATTTTCTTTAATTCCAATTTTAAGACACTGATATGTAGTTGTAGCGCATATGTATCTTAGAGAAATGACAAATGTTTTATAAATTTTTGGAGAATTGGCCATATGTGATATAAAATGAAAAATCTTCCAAGTTTTTCTAGAATTGTATGCATATTTATGTGTGTGTGTGAGAGAGGGAAAGGAGAAAGAGGAAGTACCGGTTGACCAATAGGAACTCCATTTTTCTGATCTATGAAAACGGGAAAAGCAAAATTTTCTATAAGCATGGAAAAAATTTAACCAAAACAATGGGGAAAAAACAATTAAATAACAAATATTTATCAAGGTATGTTTCTCTAAGCTTACAAGATAATATAGCACGAGAATCTGTTGTCATGCTCAACTTCATACTCGGTAAAAGCATGGCATTCGCAACATAAAATGAAGTGTAGTAATTTATGCCAAGGAAATCATAAGAATTTTTCAGCATATGGGATTGCGTCTCAGTGAATTTTGGTAATCTTTCTTTCACCAAGGACAGCATGTTTTTAGGATATTCACCATATGTCATTGGATGTAAAAACCTACAAAGTTTACACATTTGAAGCATTACTTATTGTGTTTCAAATGACTGCGTGTCGTTCAGAAAAGTGGATATGCAAACCATTTTTTGGGGGTCACGCCTACCCGATCCTTGTGTGTGTTGAGAGGGGAGGATAGGCGCCTTACAGGGATCCCATATATTAGTCATGGTTTAAGGACACTTACCATCCCAATTGAAAATCAAGAGCCCTTAAAGCAGCCTTTTGGTTGGCGACATTTTGAGAAATTGGCACATACCATTTGGACGATAATGTGACCCCAATTTGGCCCTTTTGAGAAGCCTGCACATCTCCAAATTTTGTTAAATAATTTGGTTCCAATCTCTGTTATATATTTTTGGATAAATTGCATTTAATCCTTCTTGACTTCTAGTGCTTTGCATTAAATTACTTTTTTTATTAAAAAAAAAATGCTAAAAAACCCTACTCAACTAATTGAGAGGGATTTTTTTTTTTTTTTTTTTTTTTTTTTTATGTATTGCCAAAAATACCCCCACCTAGTTAAAGGAATTTTATACAATTTGCCCAATTTTGTAAATTTAGCTAAAATATGTCTTCTTTTTTTTTAATAATATTTTCTGTTACATGCAAGACTATACTTAATTTATAAAATTAATAAAATAAAATAAAATTCATAGTTATGAGTGCAACTACATATAAGTTGAGTTCAGGTTATATGTTTACAAATAAAATAAAATTTATAGTTACGAGTGCAACTACATATAAATTCAAATCTTATATTTTTACGAATGTTATATACATTATATATATCTTTATTACGTTTTGAATAATATGTATATATATATATATATATTTATTTATTTTATACAATGCGTTCAATATATACTAAAGAAATAACATATAGTTGCACTCATAACAATAAATTTTATTTTTTAAAATTAAAAGTGTGGTGACGTATGCAACAGAAAAAATAAATTCAAAAATTATTATTAATCTTTATAAAACACAAACCTTGTATCTCTCTCTATACAACTTCACTGCTGCAGCATGGGAAAGAATCAGGTGGTGCCCAACTACGTAGGGTTCGGTTGCTGAATTCCCACACGTGCAATTTCCGATGTAGTTAGAACATCGACCAGGTGCATACGTGCCATAGGCGTATCCATATATAGTAAATTCATATGGTTCATTCAATGTTAACCAATGCTTCACTCGATTGCCAAATGTTTTGAAACAAAAGTTAACATAGTTGTTAAAATCATCCCTGTTCATCATCATATATCTATTCGTTATTGCATGTGTGTAGACAATGTACTGATATATATATATATATATATATATATATATATAAGTGAATTAATCAACATACACAATATTTTGGCTTAAGAATCCACCATATTCATCAATGAGGGCTTGTGGTAAATCCCAGTGAAATAGAGTCACATATGGCTGCAAACCTGTGGAAAAGAAAAAATCAAATATTTTCAGAGTTCTACTATTTTACTTACTAGACTCAGCCGACTAGACACGTGGCCTAACAAAAAGAAGCTATGTCTAGTAGGTTGAATCGAGGTTTTCAGAAATAATTTTTTTTTAATTATCAATTATAACAAATTATATAAAATGAAAGTGACATCAGGTTATCACCTTTAAATAGGAGATTGTCAATGAAATCGTTGTAGAATTTGACACCTAGTGGGTTCACTCCTCCACTAATTTTTCCGCCTGAGAATAGAATGATGATATAAAATTTATCTCCAACCTTAGTTGGATTGATGAAAAATCAAGAGATTGTTATCATTGAATTAATAAAAATAAAAATTAAGGATGATAGTAATAAATTAATATATTTAATATCTAGACCCCACTTGGGACTATCATTAAGATATGAACGGTTGTGATTAAATCAAGGGATGATCTTACTAGGTAATACTCTGGACCATGAGATGGAGAATTTGAATGCATCCAATCCCATCTCTTTCATCTGAATTATGTCCTCCTGTACCACAGGTCCACAGTAATAAAACTAGGATTGTTTTGTAGCACAGTACAACCTCTCTTTTTTCAACTTCTGTACAGTGTTGCTCGAAACTTTTTTATATTTTCCTCTTTGGGAATAACCATTACTTATACCATTCAAAAACCATTACTTGTAAACTTTCAAAAATAAAAATAAAAATAAAATAACCATTACCTTGTAACGATGATAAAAGTCATCCGCCACATCACCCGTACTATGATCCTCAATTTTTTCTGTTATGACAACAATAAGATTTGTCAAATATATGTATATACAAATATTTATCACCATACATACACCAACACATGATCACTCCAAAAATGTGTGTGTGAGACAGAGACCTGGATGTTCGTGAGTGAAGATATCCCACATACTAGGTTTTCTACCATCCTCAGATGCTTCCCCTTCATACTGAGGGAAAAAATTAACACAGCCATATGAGTGCATTTAATTATATGTATATGTATATATATAATATATATTTTTTCTCCAGAAATAATAAACTATTGAAGAATATTTTCAATATTTTAGTTAATTACATTATTTCTAATGAGCAGATCGAAAATGTCATGAGTTCAAACACTAACATGTATAATTAGGACTATAAAAGGACAGTTTTAAATATTAAAGTTTTACACCCTCTTTAACATTCAAAATGCATAAATTAATCATGATGGTTTCACTTTGGGACTTTAAGAGGATGGTATTGTCGGGATTTATATGCCTTGGCATAGCAAATTTTAGATTATAATGACATATGTTCCTGATGTTTCTGAAATATTTATACTTTATACAATTGGTGAATTCAATGTATTATATTTCGATTCATTATAGAATTGAAAGTGTCAACTTAATTACAAGAGATATTTATATATGTATGTGATGGCGATCAATATATGATTATAAATAGTAATCATAAATTGTTCATAGTCGGTAATTATGGATGGAATAATAATTAATTAACACTTGAACTGGATCCGCATTAGGTTAAGATATATTGCGAGAGCCGTCGTATGTAATTGCTCCCTATCACCGTCATAGCATTTGACTCTTAAGCATGAGAAAAGTATAGACTCTTTTATTAATTAATAATTACTTTGATTTGTTCGGTGGATTCTTCGGGATCCTTAGACCGAAGCATTGGGTAGTTATGTAATTAATAGTTAGAGGGTTATATTTTCAATATTTGCATCATTGCTACTTGTCTTTATTTTGTATTGATTATGGTTGATCACAAAGTAAATTCGAAAACTTTCGTGTGTTTTTAGACAAAATGATTTATTATATATTTATTTATTTAAATTATTATTTTTGTCAAACAAGTGTTTTATTGTGATCGAGTCAGAAATAATCAAAGGTACCAAAATAAATATATTAATTAAGTAGTCGGATTGATGGCTTTATTTATCCGATAACTAATTATGCATAGAAGGGTCAAAGTGCATATTAACTTAGAAGTTATTTATTATTTAATTGGAGTTCAATTAATTTCTTTTAGTGGAGTAGAAATTAATTTATGAATTAATTGAATTGGGTCCATGGACCGGACCAATTATTAATTCATTGTAGCCAATAAAATAATAGGCCCAATGGATTCTCACTCATAGCCCTTGATATTGGAATCATATTAGATTTGAGACATGTGAATTAGAGATTGAGAATGATTTGTTATTTCCTTTTCTTTATCTTTATGTTGCCTATAAATATACATGGTCTATGTATATTTTTTGAGTGATTTTTGGTAGAAGGAAAAAAGAACCTATTTTCTCTCTTTAGAATATTAGGGTTTATGTTCTCATCTAATGTAGGCTCCCATAAGCCTAGTTTTCCAAGGTCATTCATGGAGGCTTATGAGTGATTACTAAAGGCAAAACAATTAGCAAGAAGATGGAGATCCAAGGAGAAGGCATCTTGCTAAGGGATCTACAATAAGTGAGAACATTCACTTTAGAGGAAAGTTTTAAAGGTTTACTCAGACCTTTGATGGAAGTATTCAATCTGTTAATTGAATGATACATCATATTTTATTTTTGCATAAAACTTGTCTCTATGTGATAAATCAAGATCTCTGAATCAAAATCCCTTAAAAAGTTTTAAAACTTGCACGTTTCCCAATAGTGGTATCAGAGCATGGTTTGTTTCATTACTAGAGATCATGTTTTTATCAAAATTCATCATTCATGGATCTAATTTTGATATGCATATATTTATTTATTGATGTATGTTGATGTATGAATTAATATATTGATATATATTGATACATGATGATGCATATATAATTGTGAATGGATGATGATGTATGTTTGGGCCATGGATGAAGCTTATAGGTATATTGATTGTAATTTTATCTTTGGATGAATGTAATTAAGGCTTTGATTTAGCCGTTTGAAAGTTCAATGATGTAACTTAATTTTTTTTCATTGTATTTCAAATTGTAAAAATCATTAAAGCCATGTAATCTTCATCAAATGATACTATGAATCTTCAAGAAGGTCCAAAAGGGTTAAATTAGGCTTCAGGAATTTTCTGGAATTTTTCTGAAATTTTTTTAGCTTTATTTAATTTTTTCGGAATTTTTTATTATTTTTCGGCGATTTTCCGGCGAACAGAGATTCACCGGCGGCAAGCAGTAGCGCCGGAGTAAGAGGTAAGATCTGGTGCAACACGAGACCATGCAACCAGATCCACAGCCGCTGGATCAAGGGCTGTAATCAAGTGTAGCACCAAAATGATACACCTGGCGCGTGAGGAGCACGCGCCAGGGTCAACAAATTGCTGGCGCATGAGAAGCACGAGCTAGCACAAGGCAACTTCTTCCACGCGCGCATGCAGGCGCGTGGAAGTGCTCCCACGCGCGTGAAGGAGCGTGGGAGCGCATAACAGACTCTCCAACCTCCTCCTAGCGCGTGCAGGCGTGTGGGAGCGCGTGTCACGCGCTGGTAACCTCCAGAAGCGCGTGCAGGTGCATCAGATGAGTTTTGAGGCATCCAATTGTGTCCAGTGGCGCGTGGGATCGAGTTACAGCCTCCTGCAGGTGTATACAAGCCTTTAATAGACCATCGCGCATTACTTAGAGCATATAAATGTTATAAGCTGATTCCATTAGCCATTTAATTTGTTGTTTATTTATTTATGTGATGCATGGAATTAGATAATTGTTAATTAATTATTATTCATGCATTGGATCCATGATATTTATTTAAATGACTTGATTTATATTAATTAAATTATGAAAATTAATTGGATTTGATTACTAATTAATTAGAGGGTACTTATTGGGAAATGAAAAATCATTTTTGTAAATTATTTTTAAAGTGTGCCTCAAATTAAATATTAGTGAATCGTTTAAAGTCCAAATATTTTCTAAATTTAATTGGATTAAAATCAAGACGTTTTGCATGCATTATATCATGTAAATAAATAAAATGAAAACCCTAATTATTAATAATTAAAAATTGAGTGGGAGCGGGGATTTTTATACATTGCCCCATGGCCTTCGTTATTAAAACCATTGTAATTAGATTTTCAAAAATAAGACCCCACGTATGATTTGAAGAGTCTTAATATTACAAGAATGGTTGTCTCATGAAAATTAAAATATTAAATGTTCATTATAATTAGATCTTTAAAAATAAGGCCCTACGCATGATTTAAAGAGTATAGATTATAAATGGCAAGATATTTAATGTTTTATTTTTCATTAGAGCTTTAATAACGTTATACACTCAATTTAAAATCAATAGTGTTAGCTCCCCAACGGAGTGGTCTACACTAGGTGATTTTAGAAAGGCTAAACATAATCGGGAATCATTTCATATAGATAGATAAGGCATTGTCTTAAGAGATATGGAGATGATGGGATTTGCCCGCCAATAGCAATAATGAACTTCGCCAACCGAATAAGTTATTGGCGTATTGGTTATCCGATTTTTCATGCAATGGTTAAGGGACCCATATATTATTATTTTAATGGAAGTGCTCACCTAATAGCAAATGAATCTCAAGAATAGTAATAATGAACTCCTCCAACAGGATAAGTTATTGACGTATTGATTGTGTGATTTATTATGCTACAGAGTTGAGGGACCCGCATTAATTAAAAGGGATTGTTTACCAATAATGATAATGATCTCTTATTCTATTTTAGATTTATTATATTATGTGGTTAACAAACTCATTTTAATTTTAAATATGCATGATAGTATTAATAATTCACCTTGCATATTGTATGAATGCATTTATATTCAGATGAATTATGTCTAATCCATTTTATCTGCTTGCTTACATATTTTATGATATTGGACCTCATTTATAATGACTTGAAAAGGAATTTAAATATTTTATTCACAACGTAAGGGTACAAAATGTATTTAATACTCCTATACCTAATTTATTTACTTTAAGATACTTAATGAGATGTTTTAGTGAGATTAGATAGGGCGTATGCCTACGTACTATATCAGACTTGAACATCATCAAGATAGCCTAAGGAACTCCAGTATGAAATTTTATTTTAAAATGATTGTTTATTATTTAAAAATTAGCTGGAGATCAATAGGGTTTACTTGGGTGGTAAGTTTCAAGTTGACATGATTATTGCCTTGTTACCAAACTGGTTCGGTTCTTTTAGAGTAAACTAAATAAGGAATTAGTTTGAGTTCACACTCGCTGATATTCTTATAGAATTGGTAACAAATGAAGGGATAATCAATAGCATAGGCATTCTTATCAATCTAACATAGTCTATACCATCTTCTTCTAGGCCTAAGTGGAAGGGCAAAACAAAGAAGAAGGATAACAATAGGACTAGGCTAGCACAAAACATAGGTATCCAAAAGGTTAAAGGGAATAAGGCAGTGTATGTTGAGGGCGAAGGAGACTGTTTCTTTTGCCGCTAATAAAAACACTAAAGGACAAACTGTCTAAGCAATAACGTGGCATAAGAAAATATATATTTAATCATTGAGCCATGTTATGTGGTTGTATCTATTAATTCCTGATGGATAGATTCTGGAGCCACTAAACATGTTTGCAATTTATTGTAAGGATTTCAGGAATCCAGAAGCCTTGATGATATGGATATATATTTATCTTTTGACCTGATGCTAAGGTTGTAGCTAAGTTAGTGGGAGTATTACATCTAAAATTAGAGAGTATGAGGATATTAGTATTAAAGAATTATCTTTATGCACAGAAGTTGGACGCTATCTAATTCTTGTTTCACTTGTGGTTTATAAAACTGTATTGTTATTTTGTAAAACTGGTTTTATAAAATTGAATAGATATGCGATTGCTTTTGGTGCATTAAAAGATGGTTAATATACTATAATCATAATCTCTTAAGATTTGCAGGATGTAGAAACTAATGTTGCATCTTCTAGATTGAATGTTAAGAGAAAATTTGTTATTCGGGACTCATTGTATTTTTAGTGTCTATTTTTGGGTTGTAATCAATCAAAATGAGATTCAAAGATTGGTCAAAGAAGGTTTATTATCTAGTGAGGCAGAGGAGCCTAATCCAAACTTTTGAATCCTGTTTTGAAGGATAGATAACTCTAAGGGCTTAATCAGCCAGATGAAATAGACATAAAGGACAATTGGAGTCAGTACACATAAACACGTGTGGTCTTATGAACATCCAAGCAAGATTTCTCACGTTTTGGATAAATTTATCTGATGAGACACAAGTCTTAAATTTTTAGTATATTCCGAAAGTGTCAAGACTGACGTGGAGCACAGATTAGGTAAATTTATCAAAACACTTCGATCTGATCGTGGATATGAGTATTTCTTGGGATAGTGCAAAAACTATATAGTCAATGAGGTATTGTGTACCAGTTTTCTACAATTGACGCTCAATGGATGAGGTGTCAAATAGGAATAACAGAATTTCTATTTAACATGATTAAATCTATGAACAATTATACTACATTATCTCTTTCATTTAAGAGTTTAGCGTTAATGATATCGATGTGCATTATGAACTGCATTCCATCTTAGTCTGTCTCAAAGATATCTTTTGAGCTGTGTTTTTTTACTAAATTTTAGTTTAAATCACATGCACATATGGGGTAGTCTTGCACATGTGCGCTTGATATGGACAAGTAAGTTGGAAACAGATCATACGCATAATAGATTTGATAGCTACTCTAAAAGTCACTAGGATGGATTATTTTATGATCTCAAAGATAAAAGTTGATTGTTTACACTCACTGTTTATCTATAGGAGAATCATATTATGAATCACATACCTAGTAGCATAATGTTAGAGAATATGGTATGAGTACCAGATTTATCACATGTGAACACACTTATTATAGAGATTGAGAATAATATATGAATTCCCTATTGATGCGTAAGCATCATCGAGTACACAGATTCCTTCATCGGTACATTGATGTAATGGGAGGATTATCATCCAATCCGACAGAATCATGTTTTTAGGTGAGACCGTTATGGACATCCCTGTTAAACATGAGTTGGACCCAGTAAGCTATACGGAAGCGTGAACCGATATGGATACAGTTCGTTTTGGCGAGTTACTATGAAATCAGAGTTGGAATCTATGTATTCTAATAAATTCTGGGATCTTGTAGAACTTTCTAGTAGGGTGATACCTACAGAAGGCAAGTTAATCTACAAAAAGATACTAGAAGATTTCTTAGTGAATAAATCATGAGTGTACATGGGAATGTCACTATTTTTCTGATTCTATATATATTGATGACATCCTACTCATTTAGAATGAAGTGAAAGTTTTGTCATCAATAAAGAGGTAGTTGTTTAATTACTTTTAAATAAAGGATTTTCAAGATGTAAGCTATATTCTTAGGATCAAGCTTTTGCAAGATCAGGTTAAAAGGAAAATAGGCTTACCTTAATAATCCTACATTGATAAAGTTTTGACCAGGTTTGGTATGCATAACTCAAAGAATGAGTTCTTACTTTATTGATATGTATTGCTCTCTCTAGTAAGTAGTTTTCCAAGACTAGCAGAGGAGATTGAGCAAATGAGACTGGAACTATATGCTTTGACATATGGGAGTCTTATAAATGCCATAGTCTATACCTGACTAGGACCATATCATCACATCCATAAATGAGTATGATATCATTGGTTCTCCTTAGGTACTTAATGATATTTTTCACAATAGACCAGTTGTTAAGCAGATTTCAACTGCTGACTTAAATCTGCAGGTGGAGTACATTGCAGCCTTAAAGGCGGCAATGGAAGCATTTTTTGGTTTGATCTCACTGATTTAGATGTTGTGGAGCATACTACCCTACCTATTGAGCTATATTACGACAATAGTGCAGAAATAGTCCAAACCAATGACCTAAAGTTCCATAGAGGAACAAAATACACTGAGAGGAAGTATCATATTCTACATGATATTGTCCGGCAAGAAAATGTACTCGTGGCTAGAACATTGCATTGGAACACAACTTTGTTGATCCATTAACAAGGGTGTCATTAATCAATAATTTTGATCGTCATCTGGATAACATTGGAGTTAGATGCAATTTGAATTGGCAATGAAGGCAAGTGGGAGCTGTTGGGATTTATATGCCCTGGCATAGCAAATTCCTATCTGGATTATAATGACATATGTTCCTGACGTTTCTGAAATATTTATGCTTTATACAATTGGTGAATTCAATGTATTATGTTTCGATTCATTACAGAATTGAAAGTGTCAACTTGATTACTAGAGATATTTATATATATATGTTATGGCGATCAATACATGATTATAAATAGTAATCATAAATTGTTCATAGTCGGTAATTATGGATGGAATCATAATTAATTAAGACTTGAACTGGATCCGCATTAGGTTGAGATATATTGCGAAAGCCGTCGTATGCAATTACTCCCTATCACCGTCATGGCATTTGACTCTTAAGTATGAGAAAAGTATAAACTCTTTTATTAATTAATAATTACTTTGATTTGTTTGGCGGATTCTTTGGGATCCTTAGACCGACACCTTGGGTAGTTATGTAATTAATAATTAGAGAGTTATATTTTCAATATTTGCATCATTACTACTTGTATTTATTTTGTATTGATATGGTTGATCACAAAGTAAATTCGAAAGCCTTCGTGTGTTTTTAGACAAAATGATTTATTATATATTTATTTATTTAAATTATTATTTTTGTCGAACAAGTGTTTTATTGTGATCGAGTCAGAAATAATCAAAGGTACCAAAATAAATATATTAATTAAGTAGTCGGATTGATGGCTTTATTTATCCGATAACTAATTATGCATAAAGAGGTCAAAGTGCAATATTGACTTAGAGGTTATTTATTATTTAATTGGAGTTCAATTAATTTCTTTTAGTAGAGTAGAAATTAATTTATGAATTAATTGAATTGGGTCCATGGACCGGGCCAATTATTAATTCATTGTAGCTAATAAAATAATAGGCCCAATGAATTTTCACTCATAGCCCAACTTGATATTGGAATCATATTAGATTTGAGACATGTAAATTAGAAATTGAGAATGATTTGTTGTTTCCTTTTCTTTATCTTTATGTTGCCTATAAATATACATGGTCTATGTATATTTTTTGAGTGATTTTTGGTAGAAGGAAAAAGGAAACTATTTTCTCTCTCTGGAATATTAGGGTTTATGTTCTCATCTAATGTAGGTTCCCACAAGCCTAGTTTTCCAAGGTCATTCATGGAGGCTTATGGGTGATTCCTAAAGGCAAAACAATTATCAAGACGATGGAGATCCAAGGAGAAGATATCTTGTTAAGGGATCTACAATAAGTGAGAACATTCACTTTAGAGGAAAGTTTTAAAGGTTTACTCAGACTTTTGATGTAAGTATTCAATCTGTTAATTGAATGATACATCATATTTTATTTTTGTATAAAACTTGTCTCTATGTGATGAATCAAGATGTATGAATCAAAATCACTTAAAAAGTTTTAAAGCTTGCTCGTTTCCCAACAGGTATGCATTAGAATTCTTGCATATATGTTTTAAACTGTGTTTGTAATAATGAACCCTTCGTCAATAAGCTTAGATAGATGTCTAGTAGTCTGAAAGTGTCTCGCACCCGCCCACAAGATCATCACAACGGTTTTGAATATTGAAGTTATACACCCTCTTTAACATTCAAAATGCATAAATTAATCGTGATGGTTTCACTTTGGGACTTTAAGGGGATGGTATGCATTAGAATTCTTCCATATATGTATTATGACTATACATATATATGTATGCATATAAGATGGTCTATATCGGTGGTTGCCTGGCACAATGCAATGATCTTGCATACCTGGTACGACGACGACGCTGCTCCGAATACAAATCCATCTGGAAAACTGCTCCGATTGAGTTGAGCTGAGTGATGAGGAGGACTGCACTTTACAACTTTGGCACGACCCAGCTGCTGAAAGTGAGTCATCAGAGTCAGCCAGCAGAAGAGGAAAAGACTTCTTATTTCCATAGGTGACTTTACAGTTATCTATGATCGATCTCTATACTCTATATGTAGATATTAGTACTCAATTATAGGATACAAAAGGGTAATGATACTAACGAATGATCAGTGTTATCTATATATATATATATGTGTGTGTGTGTGATAGCTTTTCTTTATACCACAGTTCAACTCCTTGATAAAGTATAAAAGTTCCATTCCCTTAGCTGCCATTCAAAAGGGATTAGGTCAGAGGTCACGACAACCACATACCCCATTGCGTGCAAAATATATTAATTGAGGAGAGAGAGAGAATTCGAATTATTAGGTCTACTCAGAATAGGAAAATTAGAATAGCATCAATCCCTTAAGTAGATTAATATGCTTTTTGTCTCTCATTTCTAAAAATTTTCTCATCTCTCTAGTATATGTAATTTTGCAACGCGTTATCCCAACAACCGTGCAGCAATGGTCATGAAATTTCAAAATATCACCGCTAGAAATTGGTCGAGATGGTATAAGTGTTTGCACCATAAATTAAAATTTAGAATCAGCCACATGGGATGTGTCCATGTGGCTGATTGTTTGCCCCAAAGTCATAATTTTGACTTATGACATAGTGTTGGAAGATGTTTGGTGTACTAGAAATATAATGTGGTAATTTTATAACTTAAGAAAATTATAAAAGCAGTGATATTCAAGCATATGTTCACACTACGCATCAATTTTGGACATGTGGCGATGGCTTATTGTATACATGTTCATAAAGGAAATAATAAGAGGGATTGTGCACGTGTGATAAGTTGATGAAGAGGATAAGCATGTATAAGTTTGCTGGGATTCAAAACCGATTTGGGATGTGCAAAGGTCCCGACCAATACAAATTCTGCATTTTTTTTCTTACAATGTAGCATTTACGTTTAGTCTTTTTCTTGCATTGAACTTTTTTTTCTTCAGAAATAGTGTTATTAGAATTCACTTCTTGTACTCGTATCACTTGTGTAAGAATTTCATTTGTGAAATAAGATGGATGCTACTACCTAAGTGTTCCCTCCATTATTATTTTATAAGTATCTTTGAGATTGATGAACGCTTGTGCAGTTAGTATTGCTCCCTTCATCTAATTCCAGCCCTTATTTTATTTTGTTTTGTTGAAAGTCCTCTTTATTGAGTCACTGAAGAACCTGAAGGAAGGGGTCATCCTTACCTTCCAACAATCGCTTGATTCCATCTAGAGGCCGATTTGTTGATTCAATCGCAATCAAGGATAGTTTGGTTATCCATTTAACACTTCGAATCAAAACAAAACCTAACACTCCCTTAAAAAAAACAAAAAAAAAAAACAGCCAAATAATAAGCTGTCCCTCCCCTCCTTAATTAAGAAACTGATTGAATATAATATATAATAAGGGCAAAATACAGAAAACCCCCCTCAACTTGTAATCTTTTCCAGTAAAACCCTTCGTCTAATTTTTTACCAAAGAACCCCCCTCAACTATCTAAGGGGGGTAAAAGAGTTGATATTTGGACCAAAATGTCCTTTTTTATTTAAATCTTAATTTTTTCGAACTTAAAAAATTCATATCTCACAAACCGTACATCCAAATATTGCAAATAATATATGCACGAAAAGATTATAAAACAAGGATTCCAGAAATATAAGATTTGTTTAATAAGACTTCATAACCAGAAAGAAATAGACAATCTAAAAATCTACTATAACAATCTTATTTTATTTTATTTTTTATAAAATACTCGGGTTATTTGTAAGAAAATTTTTAGAATTATTCATTTTCATATGGAGCATAACATATAAGAGAATTTTACCCCAATAGAGACCGAAAATTCATTTTTATTTTTTTTAAATGGTGAGTCGATAAAAGAATAAAAATACTTTGACGCAAATTATGATATCTCATGAAATCGATCTCTGTTGGGGTTAAATTTTTTATATATTCAGCTCCATATGTAAATGAATAATTTTAAAAATTTTCTCTCCAGTATTTTATTTTAAAAAAATAAAATAAGATTGTTGGAGAAGATTTTTAGATTGCCTATTTCTCTCTGATTATGAAGGTTTGTTATACAAATCTTATGTTTCTGGAATTCTTATTTCATAAGCTTTCCGTGCATATATTATTTACAATTTTTAAATGTAAGGTTTGTGAGATATGAATTTTTGAAATTCGAGAGAATTAAGATTTAAATAAAAGGGCATTTTGGTCCAAATATTAACTCTTTTACCCTCCTTCAGATAGTTGAGGGTGGTTATTTGGTAAAAAATTAAACAATGAGGATTTATTGGGAAAAGACTACAAGTCGAGGGGGGTTATTTGGTAAAAAAATAAACAAGGGGGGTTTATTGGAAAAAGTTACAAGTCGAGGAGGGTTCTTTGATAAAAAAAAAAAAAAAAAATAGATACGGTTACTGGAAAAAATTATAAATTGAGGAGGTTTTTTTTGTACTTTGCCCTATATATAATAAGTATTAAGTATATATATAGTATCATTTTTTTTTTTCTTTTAGTTTAATAAAAAAAATGCTTCCCGGGTGAAATAGTAAGATTCCACATACATTATTTTTTAAAAAATGAGACTCAAAATTTGTGTCATTATCATGACAAACTTAATCGAAAGTCGACAAAAGCATTTTAAGAAAATACAGTGGTGTACACATCACAAACTTTAAAAATAAGGGTGTTCAAATGTTCACCTCCTGTGGAGGGAAAAATCCCCCTCCAGTAAGAGTTGTCCACATTATCACATTACAAATTTATATTTTCAGTTCTTTGATATATTGTGACAGCCTAATTCGGGTCGAGCCCAAATTGCAGAAGCCCAATCCGGATCGAGCCCAAATCAAGTCCCCTTTAGACTAAGGTTGCTGGCACTAATCTTCCAGCCCATTACTCAAAGCTCAGCTTGCCCAAGATGTATCCGGTCTAAACTATTTGAGAGTGAATGACTCCTGTTAATCAAAGGATTCATCATAGAAGGAAAACTCCGTGCAAGGAAAGTTTGACATTGAAATAATTATGAAAATAAAAGAGCTCTATTAGTAAATAATGATGTTTATAGAATGAATTGGAGGACAAGCAAGGCGAGTCCTACCATAATTCCACCACCTTTTTGTATATAAATAGAGGCCTAGATCTCCAATAAAGATCATCGAGCAATATACGTTTTTCTCTGAATGATTATTGCTATCTGTTATTTTCTTCGAGTGAGTTGTATTTTTCTTTTAACTATTTGTAGTTGATTGAAATTTTGCACCTATACTTTGGCGCCGTCTGTGGGAAACGTATAGAAATATACTTCCGCAATTGATTCAATTCTTTTATGCTACTACGATCTGGAATGTCAATCGGAGGATCCGTAGTAGCAGCTGATCAGTAGATGGAGTTGATGCAAAAAATGTGAGAAGAGTTCTTGCACCAATTCGAAACACTTCGTCAAGTGAACGAGACCAGCGTCGCTCAGATTGCATTGCTTCAACAGTGAAACGATGCCCTTCAAACGACGATGTCTCAGTTAGCACCGCAGGCACCACCAGGTGATGCAGCAGCACCTCTTCCCAACCAGAACGCTCCTCCAATCAACGAACCTCAGGCCAATGAGGCACGACCTAACGAAGTTCAGCAAGAGTGGAGGACCAGGATCGAGGTGGTCGTTGCGGACAATCATCCTCGTCGCACACAGGACGAACCGGCTGAATCCAACTGTAAGTTTACGGTATGGACTAATGGTATTCTAGATGGTGCGAGCATACAGGAGGCCATTGATGAGAAGAGACTCCTAAGGGTTTAGACGCCTGCTGAGATGGCCAGAGAGCATAAGAACTCTCTGGTGAGGACTCCGTTCACCGATGATATATACCACACTGACAGACCAAAGAAATTCATTATGCCTTCCTTCACTCAGTTTGATGGCACGAGAGATCCTTCCCGTCATCTGGATCAGTACTCACAGAAGATGGCACTAGACAATCACAACGATGTGTTCATGTGTAAGGTTTTCCCGACTAGCTTAATGAGAGCTCCATTAGAATGGTTCAAGAATAGGCCACACAAATCCATCCCAAACTACGAAACCTTGTGCGTTATGTTCCTAGTATAATACTGTGGAAACAAGAAGCAGAAGAAAACCATCTCTAGTCTCTTCACCATACGGCAGAAGAGAGGAGAAACGTGTAATACTCCTAATTTTAAAAATGACTTAAAATGGAATTTAATTATTGTATTTTAGGTGTTTATATAGATATGTGTTTATGTGAGTTCATGTTATTTGTTTAATTGTTAATTTTTTAAATTGGTAATTGATTTCTTTGTGGTTATTGAATTATATGCTTATGTGGATGTTCATTAATGGGTTAAATTAATTTGTTTGTTTAATTGGCATTGTCTGTTTAATTGAAATTATAAAATAGGTGACTTGAATTGAATGGTTAAATAAATTGTTTCAATTAAGATGTTTAATTTATTAAGGATGGGATTGGATGGTATGGAGTAAATGGGTACGGTTAATACCTATGGATGTGTATACATGTATATATGGGTATATATGTATATGTGGATTAATAATAATTATTAACAACTGAATTATATTTTTATTCATTATATATGGTGTAATATAATTCTAGGGTTTTGTATATGCTCACGGGTTAGCCGACTTAGTGTAGATTTATTTTATATTTCTTTTCCGTCTTCCCTAAGAATTAAAAATTAGGTTTTCCTTAAGCCTATATAAATATTACATTAGACGTCGGCTTAGGGTTATAAATCAATAAAACCTTATGCACAAACAGAGAGTGTTAAGAGAGAAACTGAGAGAAGGGGATAGTGGGTTTTGGCCAAAGAATTAGGCTGGACCAAGGACGAAAGTTGAGGGCTGTTCGAGGGTTAGAACCAAAGCAGAGGATTCCTTGACGGTAGTCACGATCGCCGGAAGAACCTAGGAAGAAGATGGTTAAGGTTTCAATTCGAAACCAAGAGGCAAGTTCTATTATGTCTCTCTCCCCTTGGCCAGTGTTCTATGCATACCTAGATGGTCTCTAGGATTTTAATTAAATATTAATTGAGTTTGTGCATGCTTATTATATGTCAAAGTGATCATCTGTATATGTTTAATGTTTGTCTGAAATAATTCTTGCAAGTTTAGAGGTTCGTCGTATGTTCTTAAGGCATAACAAATTGGTATTGTTTTAATCGTTGTATTAGTTCTTACTGTTGTAAGCTAAGGACTGGGGGTGATACTGGATATATGTTGGACTGTTAAGAGCAGTTTTAGGGAAGAACAGAAGGGTAGGAAAAGGCCGGAGTCGGAGTAATTGATCAGAAACGGAGCTGAAAGAGGTTTAGTGCTCTCAAAGAAGGAGAGAGTCGGCTCTAGGAGGTTGGGAGCCGGCTCCCCCCTTCATAGAACCAGCTCCAAGGGCTAGGGAGCCGGCTCCATGGTGCTTAGAGCCTGTTCTGTTGGTTAGAGAGCAGGCTCCCTTGTTTTCCCTTGTTTTGACGAATTTCGAAACAGTTTTGATAGACGTGTTTGGGATTCTGAATTGTTTCAAGGACTGGAATGAGAATTTTAAAAGTAATTTCATGGGATTTTAAACTCTCTAATTGCATAATTTGATCCGTAGTGCAAATAGAATAAACAATATAAAATAAGCAACTTTGCACGCTGCTAACGGATAGGAAGGACTGAATTTTTTAATCTTGTTTTAAAATTTTAACGGATTGTAGAATGGACTCTAAACATGATAATATGCTGTAATTGAACCCACAGTGCATAATTTATCTCTATATGCTAATGGTATTCACAGCGTGGAAGTTTTAAGCAATGTCGCACACGGTTGACCGATATAAAATATTTAGTGCTTACATTTATTTTAGCAACCTGGATAACTGGAATAGGATTTTTAAAGTTGTTTTGGATGCATAATAAGGTCTTATACATATTAGATTTTGTTATGTTTCTCCTGGATTTAATTGAAGAATAAATTACATATTTCCTATCAATTACATGGATGTTGGTCTGGTTTTTAATTGAAGAATTAATAAATTATATTCTGTCAATTACGTGGATGTATACTAGATTTTGAATTGATGAACTATTAAATCTTGTCTCGTCAATTACATGGATGGATTCTGGATTTTAAATTGACGAATGATTAAACTTTGTCTCGTCAAGTACATGGATATTATTATGGATTTTTAGTTGATGAACTGTTTAAATTCTATTTTTATCAACTATATGGATTACGTGGATTTTATTTGATGTACTTTTTAAAGTGTTGCATCATTTACGGATCATATGCATTATATGCACCGGTATGGGACGGTGGCATATGGAGGGACAGATTAAATCAAAACGTTAATTCCTACCTATTCATACATACGAAATGGATGAACTAAAACAGTTCAATCCTACATGGTTTCATGTCCTGTCAACTAAAACAGTTGAACGACATATTGGATGGTTGTTTATATTTCTGTATTATGAAGGATAGGGATTTAATTAAAACATTTAAATCATAATTATATGTTGTGTTTTGGCGACGAACAGTTGACCGGCACAACATTGTATTTGGATGAAATTTATATATATAATTATGGTATCGCGATATGAGCTTGAATCTCATAGTCAACGGTTAGGGAACGTATATGCAGTAGGATGCGTAGCTAGCTATATTGGTTGAGGTATACCTTGTTAGGCTTAGGTAAACATGCCCACTCAGGTGCGTTTTGCATGTTGCCTTCTATTCAGGTTGAGACCCTCATCATAATCCAATGAGAATCCTATAGTGTGGATATATATATTTATTTACGGACTATATAGATATGGTTGAGACATCTAGGATGTATCTGCGTATCAGATCTCTGTTTAGATTGTAGTTAGGATAGAACTTGTTCATGGGCTTGACCCACTATTATTTTTCAGGTATCGGACGGTTCCAATCTTAGAGCTTGTTCGTGCTAAGCAGAGACGGTCTCTCATTCTTCCGACTGCGTAGGATCACTATTTGTATTTAGCTTTGGATTTCCTTTTTTATTTAATTTGTCTTTAGTTTGGTTTTTTAGGGGTCCACACGGTATGGATTCCCGAGTTCTATTTTGGAGGATCAGTTGTTATCAGAAAACTTTATTAATCAATGAAAATTTATTCTGAGGTTTTCATTATTGGATTATCACTTTAGTATCTTTTCAGCAATTTTCTTTTATTCCTGTTTATCATAATTGTATTCTGTGTTCGTTTATTGCTAATTGGTTTGATATCTTCGGGTAATCGAGCGTGGGCTTTTCCAACCTGCATCCAGAAATCCGGGGGTATCACAAAACGCTACAAGATTACCTATCCAGATTTAATATAGAGGCCTCGGAAATAGCAGATTGTCATCCTGAGACTACTGTAGAAACATTCAAGATCAGTATGATTCAGGGTACCAAGTTCCATACCTCCCTAGTCAAATATTCCCCTCCAGACATGCAGACTCTCAATACTAGGACACAAATCTACATTCTGCTTAAGGAGAATGTAGCCCACCGAGCACAGCATGCCACCCTCATTACAGTGGAAAATAAGCCTCTGGAAAAAGCTTCAAGTTCAAAAAGTCAAAGAAGCCAGCATGCCTCAGCACCGGTGTTTCAGGTACCTGAGAAGAGACAAAGGACATAGGAGAGATTCGTACCTCTTTGTACCACCTTAGCTTGGCTATTCTAAGAAAACAAGGTAAGATTCACAGCCCTTCAGCTAATGAGGCAACCCTTGGAGCAAAAGGACAAGAGCAAGCACTGCGCCTACTATAGGGATTACGGGCATACAACCAATGATTGCAGATCCCTTAGGCAGCAAGCGGCAAGTGGAAAACATGATAACCAAAGGTGATTTGGCAGATTACCTCACACCAAAAGAGTACGTGAAGTCTCAGGAGGTTAATCCTCGGAAAGTAGCGGGAAATCAAGTGAAGGTTATCCATGCAATACACGGGAGGTCAGAAGACGACCAAGAGTCAGAAGAGGTATACCGATCCAGACTGAAGACAGCCCACAAGCTAAGGAAGCTATCCTCTGTAAACACTATCACTTCAGGCAGTATCAGTATTGGGTTCGGCAATGGAGATTTATCACGAGTTCAGCTTCCCCATGAGGATCCGCTGGTCATCAGTCTTCTGGTGGCAAATTGCATGATCAAAAGAGTATTAGTAGACTCAGGTAGTAGCCCCAATATTATCACAAAGGCAGTCTTTGAGCAATTGGAGATTTTGTCATCATCAATTCGGCCCACCTTTAGTCCTTTGATGGGGTTCGATGGCACGAAGATGGACCCTATTAGGGTAATTGATCTATCCGTCACTGTAGCAAATTGGACATTAAAGGAGAACTTTGTTTTAACAGACATCCATCCTTCTTACAATCTCATTATGGGCAGAGGCTAGATCCACCGAATGAACGGGGTTCCATCCACCTTTCATCAGGTGATGCGATGCTTGTCTTCGGACGGTAAGGATGTTATTAATCTTTAGGGAGATTAGGTCACTACCAAAGAATGTTTCATGCTGATATTGAATGAAGCAAAGAAAATGATCAAGCAGTCCCAGCCAGGTGTGATCCCAGGAGGTACTTCCAAATAGCAATTACAGAGCCCTTTACCCAAGCATTTAAAAGCAGAGGAGGAAACCGAAGCCACAAAACCTACCGAGGAAATTCTCGAAACCGTCAAAGTTGTCCACAGCAATCCTCAAAAAATCACTTATATGGGCTCTTCCCCCACAGCCAAAGAGAAAGAAGCGTTAGTTGATGTTATTCGACAGAACGCAAATGCGATTGCCTGGGATCATTCGGACATGGTAGAAATCAGCCCTTCAATCTCATACCATAGCCTGAAGGTGGATCCGGCGTTCAAACCAGTTAAGCAAAGACACAGAAGGTTCACTCCTGAGCGCAGTCAAATCATTACTGAAGAAGTAAGCAAACTGCTTCAAGCAGGCTTCATCCGAGAAGTGCACTATCCACAATGGCTCTCAAACGTGGTAGTAGTTCAAAAGAAGAATGGAAAATGGAAAGTGTGCATAGATTGTACCAATCTCAACAAGGCTTACCCTAAGGATAACTATCCACTACCCAAGATAGATCAGATGGTTAACACTACCACTGGCTATGAGAGACTCACATTCCTCGATGCATATTCCGAGTATAACTAGATCCCCATGAATCTAAAGGATGAAGAGAAAACTACCTTCATAATAGAAAAAGGCACATACTGCTACAAAGTCATGCCTTTCGAACTCAAGAATGCTGAGGCAACTTACTAACGTCTTGTTAACAAGATCTTCGACGAGATACTAAGAAGGACGGTCGAAGCCTACATCGATGACATGGTGGTTAAAAGTGTGAATAAGGAGGACCATCCTAAGTACCTCCAGGAAGTCTCTGACACTTTGAGAAGATATAACATGAAGCTGAATCCTTCCAAGTGTTCCTTCGTAGTCTCTTCAAGGCAGTTTCTCGACCATGTTGTCAACAAGAAAGGGATAGAGGTAAGCCCAGCTCAGGCTCAGGCCCTCATACGAAATCATGAACTAAAAACTCGTAAGGAAGTACATGTTTTGACTGGCCGAATTACAGCTCTCAATCGCTTCATAACTCGATTACCAAATAAGTATAAACCGTTCTTTGATGTAATAAGATCCAAGAATAAGGATATATGGGGACCTCAGTAGCAAATGGCTCTCAATCAATTAAAGTGCTACATGGCTGAACCTCTAATTTTGTCCACTCCAAAGCCTGGTGAAACTCTTATCATGTACTTAGCAATCTCTGGCATAGCCATAAGTGCCATACCGATCAGAGAAGAATAAAAGAATCAGACTGGTAGAAGGAAAGAATCAGTACCAGTCTTCTACACAAGAAAAATGATGACAGATGCTGAGACGCGATACAGCAAAGCAGAGAAGATCATACTAGCGTTAGTGTATGCAAAGAGGAAGCTCCGGCACTATTTTAAGTGTCATAGCATCGTAGTCTTAACCAACTACCCCATGCTAGTTATTTTTTCTAAACCAGACTTGTCCGGAAGAATAACTAAGTGGGCAATCGAACTTAGTTCGTTTGATATATCTTATGAGCCAAAGGTGTCACACAAAGGCCAGGTATTGGCCAACTTCCTCCTCGAGTATGAAGATAAGCCCGAAGAGCCAAACCCTCCTAAACCACAATGGGAGCTTCAGGTAAACGGTTCCTCGAACCTAACTAGTGCTGGGGCCGAAATCGTTATCACAACCCCTGATGGTACCAAGCTGCAGCAGTCAATCCGTTTGACTTTTCCTGCCACTAACAACGAAGCCGAGTATGAGGCCTTACTCGCTGGGCTCCAGTTGGCAAACCAGCTCCAGGTAAGGTGTCTAAAGGTTTTTATTGACTCCCAACTTATTGTGAATCAGGTGATAGGCAAGTATCAGCTCAAGGAAGAAAGAATGAAAGTATACAAGGAGGCTGTAGAGAGTGTTTCACGTGGATTCGATCAAATCAAATTCCATTAAGTACCTCGTGAGGAGAACTCCAAAACAGATTAACTGGCCACAACGGCATCTTCCTCAGATGAAGATTTAGTCCGGATAGTGCCAATAGACATCCTGGACGAACCTAGTATATGTCTTTGGCAGGAAATAATGGTGATCCCAGACATTCCACGAGAACCATGTTGGATGGATCTGCTGGAAGCTTACCTCAAGCATGGAATGCTTCCGAACCAGAAAGCCAAGGCAAGGAAACTCAGGTTCTTCGCAGCCAAATATTCTATTATTAATAATCAGTTGTACATGAAGTCATTCTCAGGTCCTTACTTGAAATGCTTAAGCCCCACTGAGGCCCTCGTAATACTAAAGTAAATTCATAACGGGGATTATGGCAACCACTCCGGTGGTAGATCCCAGGCATATAAGGTCTTAACTCAAGGTTACTTTTGGCCATACTTGGCTCGAAATGCTGAAGAATATGCCAGGAGATGCGACAAATGCCAGCGACATGGCCAATGAAACATCAACCTACTGAGGACTTGCATGCAATGGTAAATCCATGGCCATTCGCACAATGGGGGATTGATATGGTCGGACCTTTGCCCAAAGCTGTGGAGTAAAAGGAGTACGTATTGCTAGCCACGAATTATTTCACAAAGTGGATAGAGGCCGAAGCTTATTCAAGCGTGACCCATGAGTAAGTAAAAAGTTTTCTATCGAATAATATAATCTGCCGATTCAGAGTGCTGAAGGTTATCATGATGGACAATGGTAAGAATTTGGACAATAGAAGCACAAGAAAGTTCTTCGCCGAGTATGGGATCAGACAGAAGTTAGCCACGGTTAGTCATCCACAAGGGAATGGGCAGGCCGAAATAACTAACCGAACCATCTTCAGCTGTCTGAAGAAAAAGTTAGAGCAGCTCAAGTCGAAGTGGTACGAGAATCTGCCTAAGGTACTTTAGGTATATCAAACCACCCCACGGCGACCAATGGGGGAAAGCCCCTTTGCAATGGCGTATGGGTCCGAGGCTGTCATCCCCACCGAGTTAGCAATACCTACTCTTATGACACATTTGTTACTCAAAAGGAATAATGATCAATAGCTCGAGCGTAGCCTCGACCGCTTGGAGGAAAAGAGAGATGTTGTGGCAATTAGGCTCGCTTCATACCAATAATAGTTATGTAACAGTTATAACAAGCGTGTGAGGTTCAGAAGCTTTGTGGTAAGAGATTGGGTGCTGAAGCAGGAAACAGCCTACGTAAAGAAGTTATAACCCAATTGGACTGGACCCTACAGAGTTACAGAAGTAGTAGGGAAAGGAGCTTACGCGTTAGCAAAAACTGATGGGCGTCCAATTGCACGTCCATGGAATGTAGTACACCTTCAAAGGTACTATCATTAAACAATATAGTTCACTTGCTTTTCTTTTACAAATATGGTTGTTTATGGCCCACATAATAAAAGATTCTTATTAGTCTATACACCTCTTTCTCTAAACTCATGATGTGGAAGTATGATAGATACATAACTGGTCAATAGATCCTTGTACCCGACTGTCATAATTGAATTCGATGTTGATGTAGGATACTACTTATTACTTTTTTTTTCGTCATAGGGGGCCACACATATACCCTACTATTAGTATTACTATTGATATGATATTACGACAAAAGAAACTATATTTTTTGCTTTTGGTTTGTACTTTTATCCCACATCGATAATAATTATTAAGCCCAAATGTATTTATCCCAAAGCATGTATTTTGTGGTGGTCCCACATTGGTTAAATATAGCTTTTAGCTTTCCTTTATATAAGGAACAGTGGCAGTATTTGGGTGCATTGTAAAGAGAACCCGCTGGTAATTAATAGTACCGGCGAGCATTTTTTGCAATAATTCTCTTTTTAACCAAAAAAAAAAAAAAAAAAAAAAAAAAAAAAAAAAAAGGCCCTGACTTCTAGCCTAAAATACAAATTTTATTATTGTCCCACATCGATTAGAAATACAAAAGGGTGTATAGTTAATATAGTTGTGGCACACCACGTCTGTCGCCACGAAGAGAGTCTCCGTGAAAGATAGTCTCCCAAGCAAATGTATGGGAGACTTCCCAGTCACAGTTACTCTTTTTCGTGGCCTCATATCATTTTTGAATCTTCAGCCTGTCCTGCATACGTGGTGCCTTTTCCACCTCAGGCTTTGGACCATAAGAGTCCGGCACAATACAACTCTTCTCGGGCTCATAGCCGAGGAACCAAGGCTCATAGCCGAGGATCCATATGCCTCGGACCACAAGAGTCTAGCACAATACAATTCCTCTCAGGCTCATAGCCGAGAAACCACATGCCTCGGACCACAAGAGTCTGGCAAAATATAATTCCTCTCAGGCTCATAGCCGAGGAACCACATGCCTCGGACCTCAAGAGTCTGACACAATACAATTCCTCTCAAGCTTATAGCCGAGGAACCGTATACCTCAAACCATAAAAGTCCAGCACAATACAATTCCTCTCAGGCTCATGGCCGAGGAACCGCATGCCTCGGACCTCAAGAGTCCGACACAATACAGTTCCTCTCAAGCTCATAGCCGAGGAACCATATGCCTTGGACCACAAGAGTCTAATACAATACAATTCCTCTCAGGCTCATAACCGAGGAACCACATGCCTCGGACCTCAAGAGTCTAGCACAATACAATTCCTCTCAGGCTCATAGCCGAGGAACTATATGCCTCGAACCACAAGAGTCCGACACAAGATAGTTCATCTCAGGCTCATAGCCGAGGAACCACATGCCTCGGACCTCAAGAGTTCGGCACAATACAGTTTCTCTCGGCCTCATAGCTGAGGAACCACATGCCTCGAACCACAAGAGTCCGGCACAATACAATTCCTCTTAGGCTCATAGCCAAGGAACCACATG